TGCTCCACATCCATCCCTTCTGGACATCGTAGAGTGAGTAAGTATCAATAAAGGTCCGCGTACCATGAGTCAGGGCTTGCCGTCAGCTGAAAAAGTTGCTTGAAAGGGAAATCATCGGCCAGCTCTGTCTCTTCAAGTTGGGCCCACAATCTGCATTCTCATGGTGGATGGTCTTCCGCGTCTACACTACAAAAGTGAACTCTTGTAGTAGCAATACGTCGCGACAAGTCGGCCTTCTTCACAAAATGTTGTAATGCATAATGATCTACATGGAAAACAAACTCATAGCCTAGCATGTAGTGTCAAAATTTCTTCACCAAAAACACCATACCCAACGCCCTGCGCTCCGTAGTGGTGTAATTCTGTTTTGCTGCCGACAACTGTTTGCTTGCAAAATAGATCGGGTAATCTTTTCTGTTTTCATCTTTCTGGCTTAGCACTACCCCAATGGCGAATGCCGAGATATCCACAAATACGTGATATGGCTTCTCCTAGTATAGACTGCGTAAAACCGGTGCATAAGTGAGTTTCGCCTTGAGTTCTTCAAACCCATTCTGTTGCTCCTCTCCCCATTCATAGGGCTCATCTTTCTATAACAGCTTGGTAAGACTAGCATAAGTAGTCGCATACAAATGGATGAACCGCATGTAGTACTTCACATGCTCCAGGAAGTCTCGTAACTTTTGAAGGTTCGTAGGTGGCTCTACAGCCAAGATGAACTTGAACTTTTCTTCATCGATTGCTATTCCTTTGGCGGACACTCGGTGTCCTAACAAGATGCCGCTCGTCATGAAAAAGAAACATTTTTCCTTGAAGGAGTGACAACTGAGACTTCCTGCACTTCTCAAATGTCTGCTGCAAATGACTAAGATGTTGATCGCGAGGCCCGAATACACAGAAGTCATCCATAAAGATCTCCAAGAATTTTCTTAGATGATCTTGAGAAATAGTAGTCATCATTCATTGAAAGGTCGCAAGCGCATTACACAACCCAAAGTACATCTTATGATATGCATAGGTTTTCAAGTCGGTAGTGAACGTTGTTTTATCCTTGTTCTGTTCACAAATGGACATTTGATTGTAAGCAGAGAATTTATCTTAGAAGTTGTAACATTCGTGTCTTGCCACGTGATCTAAAATGGCATATGTGAAAGGCAACAGATGATGATCCTTCCAAGTAGCCGCATTCAGCTTCCAAAAGTCTTGACATACTCGGATCTCCCTGTCAACTTCCTCGGTATCATGACAAGGGGAGAGACCCATTCACTACTCAGCACCGGGTATATGATTCATGCACTCATGTACTTATCAATTTTGTCCTTGACCAACAAGGAGTACTTAGGATTCAAACGGTACTGACGCTGACGTAGACGTACTGTGACGGCATCATCCATTAAGTCAATACGGTGTTCTCCATAACGAGCAGGTATGCCTTTCATGTCCTTGATCTTCCAAGCAAACACGTCTTCATAATTCAGGAGAAATCTCCGTATAGTCTCTAGCTCCACTCCGGTCACCTCGCTAGAGATCTTCAACACTTTGTGGGGTCTGATCTCGATGTCGATCTAATCATCACCCACAATTCGTCGTCCGGAGCATAAGCAACATTCTTTTCATCTTGTCCGAAACAGTACTTTCGAACAAGATTTATAATTGGAAGTGAGAAGCACTTGTCCGACAAGTGCTTCCCACTTCCAATTATAAATCTTGTTGGCAACGTAGATGAACGCTAAAATCGTGAAGAGTCTTGTAAAATAATCCATCATGCATCGAATGACAATAGTTCTTGATGACGAGATCAACCTGATGAGGCGCACATCAAATTTGCATCAAACTGAAGTTGGCCTCCTTGTCAATTTGAGTCACAACACCAAAATCTCACCATGTGATTCTTGCCTTCAATGGTATAAGCAACAATTTTACATTGCAAATTTGGAAGGATTGCATTGAGAATGTGTTGGATCATTGCTTCAATGTTTAATGTTGCATGTCGATCATAGAATAGTACTGTCATCAAATGCAGGTTATACAATCGGCCATTTGCACAAAGACAAATTTGAATATAAAAATATGAAACACATGAGTAGAACTGTCATCGGCAAGAGAGAACGTTCAAACTTGTTGAGATTTTTAACACATCAGAGTTGCATTGCAAATTGATGGTGACACCTACTCAGACATATCTGCTGACTAGATGATCGTTGACTCCAACAAGCTTGGAATTGTTGAAGGATTCTTTGTGCTGATAAATAACACCAATAGTTTGATAAAAAGATAATCCAATAGAGGTGTGATCAAGATAGAGCTCAAAGCGTTTCACGTTTTTTATGAAGACTTGATACTAAAACATGGTACTAGAAAATGGAGTGAAAAGCTACATAATAAAGCTGATAAAGCTTTCAACTCATCATCTGCATGAAAAATAGTTTGTCGATTATATCATCCACGATGTTCTTATCAAAGATCATGTTGATGACATCGCTGTCCATATTGACGTTGTCCAAGATGTAAGTCAATTTTGACTTGTTGAAGAAATTGATCATCTTTTCCTTTGACATTTTCTTGTATTGCTCTCATGCTCCGTTGTGTCAAATAGAGTTGTGCTTGTCATAGTTCTCTTTTTACAAAAGGGAGCGCTGTAGTACTTGGTGTTCTCGGTGCGCTAGCTTTTGTGACTCACTTCTCGGTTCATTTAAAACTGGAGCAAAAACATCACATCACATACACGGCCTGTGACTTTGCATACCATCCACTGATTTGCAATCCGAATTGTAGTGCGTGTTGATACGTTTTTTGCAAGAAGTATCCTTGCCATACATTGTGGTTGGTCGTCAACAATCAGAACCAACATTAGAAGAAAAAAATTGCAAAGTGAGAATTGGTTGGCGAGAATATGCGTTTTAGTTGAGGTGGTCAACTCTTTATTTTTTGGCGTTGCTCAAATCTAAGAATGTGTAAATGTGGCATCTAAAAATAGAATGCCACATCTTAAGAGGCCTGGAGTAACCTCAAAATGCCATGGGCAGTTTATTAGAATACAATGATCATAGAATATAAACTACTACACCATGGTGTAAAGATAAAGCTCTTTTTGTGAAAAATGTACAAGGAGGCAGTTGTAAAATGGGCGCTGGTTGATGCATCAACGATATGCATCTATTTATCAAAGCTAGAACTACCAACAGCAAAAGAAAACTAAAAAACTAACTCGAGAACTTCACTTCGTTGATCAGGAAAATAATGTCCACTTGCACAATAAATTTTGAGCCTCACGTTTAACTCAACAATGTTTCAAACACTTTCACGGCCTCAGATTCTTCAAGTTCCGTGTTGCATGTTCACGTGTACTGTCTCCACTTCTGCGTCCCACTTAGCTGTTGATGTTTTGCCAGTCTTTGATCGTCATTAGTAGATCTTAAACTTCCTCTAAAACTCCAAAAGAGTTGACGAAGATTGAACGTGATTCACGTCTCAGTGATGCTAAGTCCATGAAGAACTAAAGGTTGTTCACTCAAAACCTAATGGGCATACCCCGGATCGCTGCTGCCAATTCTATTGTATAGAAATAGTTATCCTAGTCTGAATAACCATAATCAAACTAATTAAAGTTAACCAAGACCCCAAAATTTTTGGGGAACCCTGCCGTCTATTGCTGTCATTGTAGGCGGGGCGGGGTTTTTCGGTTATAAAATATATGACAATGAGCGTTTTCACGTTCGAAAAGACCGAGCTCTGGACCAAAAAGAAAGAGCCCAAAATGAGAAAAAGCTGGGTCCAATAGAAGATCGCATTACCGAGAATGATATTCCAATGACCATTGGTAGTTTGGTGGCACTTACTTTGGGAAAGTAGATTTTTGCATAATTGGTTGATGTAATTAGTTACTACTGTACTGTACGAATGAACAGGCTTGGCCACGGTCAACCGGCGCAGGAAAAAAGTGTACCGGTTAACCGCCAGACCGGATCGTGGCCAAGATATGCACTACATTACATTAGGGTGACGAATTTTCTCTGGGACCCGTTAACCGGTCCCCACCAGTCCGGACCGTGGCCAGACCTACTAATAAATCTAAATTTTGCAATGTCAAATTTATCTAATCTAAGGAAGTTTATCTTTCACAAACTTGAAAAGTGTCGAATTTAGTCACCATATATAGTTAGAAGTGTACAGGCCATGATAATGGATCATGCCTCCAAGTACGTCCAAATTGCGTGTTGAAATCACTCGGAGCACTTATATTGCCTTCCCATGTACCACGGAAGATTATAACTGAGAGACTCTATCCAAGCAAATCAATCAATAAGATGTTACTGATGGATTAGTTACAAAAACTCTGAACTTTCACTTACACCTGTAGGGAAAATTGCATCTGTTCGAGAATCAGTTTCGACAGATCTGATTTTTGCAAGTTACAAATACAACTTGCACATACGGTGAAATGAGTTTACATATTTATCGGTCACGGCTCAGATTGTGAAGTGGAACTTTCCGAAACAACAGTAAAGTATTTCAACATTCACGTGAATGTTTATATTTTTGCGGGAACGATGAGCTGTCATATGAAGAGGGATTTCACTACACGAGGTATCACTATACGTGGCTATGAAACGTGGTCTTCGGGAAAGGTCGCCTTGCATGTAACCACAGTAACTCCGTGACTTGCGCATGGGGGAACGCACGCGACAGGTCGCAGTCAGAGGCCTCTGCCTGCACTGTACATGATTATATTTGACACTTCCATGTGTGGTGGCCTATGTGCCCGATCCCCAGGAGTTTCAGCCAGATTGGCGCCGGTTGAGGCGGACTGGGCGTCAGAAGCCCGTCGAACAAGATCAAACCTCAGCTGCCTGGATCCCTTTAAAGTCTAACGATGGCCTCCTCCTTACGCAGTCTGTGTACTCATGTGCATGAACCCTCTCGGGGTCTAGCAAAGGACCAGTGCGACCAAGAAGTCAAGACGGGTTCACAGCTCGACGAGGTTTTGGCGTCCGTGAGCTGGGTACAGGCGACGATGCATGCATAAGTGTTGTTGCTTCAGTCTCCAGCTACGAGCTGGCAGTTAATATTTCACGAGTATAATGATGTACACAGGGTCCACTCAGGACCCTCTCAGACCAGTTCGGCCTTGCAAACAGTGTGGTCGGTGAATGTCCACCAAACGATCCGCGGCGCCGGCACAAGTGCTGAAAGGCCTACTCGACGGCAATTTGTCGACTTAACAGCTAAGAGGAATTTGACAGTGGGGGTATTGACTACTCCGGTATCTTCTAAAGCTGAAGGAACTTATGACGAACGGTCAAAATAGAATCAATCCCGCTAAGTCTTCGTGGTATATGGCTTACTGTAGTATGACCAATCATGACTACATTCTGCCACATCGATTGACGACGTCGTCTCGTCCTCGTCCCCGAGATTATCATCGCAGAGATTGGCTTCGAGTCAAGACTCGGTAAATTCGACTCCGGTAGCGCCAGATAGTGTTGCAAGTACATGGTGAAATTAAGGTTGACATGACTGTACGCTTGTCATGTTGGGGAACCTGGTTTCAGCTAGTGCCCAGTTGAAACAATAAATGAGTGTGCTTGTAGTGAAGTTGGTTAGCTTTGTTGGCTGCTTGGATCGAGTTGCAACGATTTATGGGAAGTTGTGGCGGTTCTGGTTATGGACACCTGGAGATGGAGGCACAGAAAGCAATTCTTTCTCTTCGTCCACTGATTCCCAAAATTCGAGCACACTCCAAGGATGCTCAAAGTGCAGGAGCTGGTGGATGGTTTTCTCGAGCTCCACTGTTTCCTTGAGCAGAGTTTGCAAGCTGAAGGTGAGGGCACTGAAAGAGAGCATGGCAGGGTTACTGAGAACTGGGGAATTAGGATCCGCCCTCTTTTTCACGATAAACTCCTCGACCACTGTCTCGTAGCTAGCCTCGAAATCCTTCATCCTATTCTTCAGAGACAGAGGAGTCCCATCGATGTCTCGTCGAATGCACTCCAAAACCAACAGCGGATGCACCTTGCCCACCATGTCCTGCAAGTCATCATTCGGAGCTCCATGATCGTGACGAGAGGTAGCTCGATGTAGCTCACTCTTTGCTTCATGGTGCCAACTGCCTGAATTCTTGGACATCAGATCGATCTTGTACCGCGTGCATTGCAGGAGCCCTTGTAGAAGATGCAGTGATGACAAAACCTCCTCTTCCAGCGCGTCCAAACTTCCCTGAAGTGGACCCACTAGCTTCCGAATCTGAGATCCCAGGCACTCTTCAGTGGCTGCGTGAAGTGAAAGTACCATAAAGTGGAGCAGATCCAGCATCCGAGTTTGAATGTTGACCAGCTGCCCGTAGATTTCCGCTGGGAAAGGCACGTTCCACAGTTCAGGTTCCATGACTGCTTCGGCTTGGAGCTTGGATTGCTCAGCGATTCTGGATCTAAGCTGGGCTTCCAGTTTTTTGATATCGGATGCCACGATTCTTCTGTGCTCATCGCAGAAGTGGCCAGTGTAAGCAGCTACCACAGCTTTCACGCAATCCCTTAGATCAACTAAGCTCGAGACCAGCTCCTTCCGACACAGTATCGCGGCTCGATCAGGGAAGACTAAACTCTCGACGAAGATCAGGGCCAAAACTCCGATGAAATTCTCAGTGATTCTGGTCACTGCCAGCTCCTGGATGGGTGCTCCGTTGGAACCCAGCATGACAATAGCTGCAGTTAAGCCTGCTATTACTCCGGCAGCTCCGAACAGTTTACTGAATCTTAGGTAGCTGAGTACCACGACCCACGGAATAAGCGCCACCAGCACGAAGTCCGGGTGATCGTGGATGACGATGACCATGAGGTAAGCGTAGATGGATCCGATTACTGTACCCTGAAGTCGAAGGTTTGCCATGCGGAAGGAGCCTCCCTGATGGTTTTGAATGATGAATCCTACGGTTACCACCGCCCAGAAGGCGAATTTCTTGTTGTAGAGGATACCTGCCAGAGCTGCAATAGCCATGGCCAGCGAGATTTTCAAGGCTCGAACGACCTGCTGGTACTTGAACGAGCAGAACGATTCGCAAACTCGTGCCCAAATGTTTTGTATCATTGTGTCCTTGATGACACAAGGTTCTTCCCTTCTCTGCTTGTCGCATACTGAGCACCTGAATGTGGGTTGAGATGTGAGGAGACCGCTGACAGGCTTTGGCACCTTGGGTGGCTTGGAAGCCTCGTCGGCTACGGGGGACACTACAACAGCTATGGGTACTGCATGCTTGTCGAGCTCGTACGAGATCATCGGTACATGGCCACCGGCATTTGCTACCTTGTGCATTTCGTTGGCGACTTTGCCTGTGGAGTTTGGGTCCAGCATCTTCATTGTCTCACAGAAGTACAGCTTGAGGTTAAAGAGGAAGAAGTATGTGGGCACCATGCTCTGGAACAGGTGCTTGATACATTTCTCACTTGTGGGTGATGGTGGTGCCTGGCCACCCGTAGTGACCAATTCTCCCAAAGTAACTTCTTCGTCGTTTTTAAAGTAATAAGACTCTTCTCGAGCTATTCTCAGGACCTGATCAAAGGTTTTCAGATCTTCCCTAGCCTTTGCAAGAAGCCGCTCTTTCTCCTGCACCATCGATTCGCCGCTCCCCATTTTGGCCGTCAGCTCGAGCATCGCCTTGCTACGTTCAGCGAGACATGTCAACGAATATCTTAAATTTGTTGTCATCTTTGCGGGAGTGTACTGCAAAATCAGCCCGGACTGCAGCGCCATGCCCATGCCCATCATGTGCAGTCTGATGACGTTCAGACCCTCCGACATTCGCTTGCAGGCAGACATCTTCCCTAGTGGACGAAGCTCCCAGTAAACATCAGCCTGAAATAAGACAAGCAGTATTCGTCAAACTCAGGTAATTATAATAGCTTCACTGAGACAATCCACCAAGTTAAACTACAGATGGACAGTGCCATAAACAACATCTTACCATTCTGCTGTTCAGATCGTCAAGAGTAATACACGCCGTTTTGGAGAGATATTTGGCGTGTAAAAATACAGATGACAGCTTACTAACTTCTCTAGCACAAAAAGCCTCGCAATTAGTCTTGAAAAGCTCGGCATCTCCTCTAACAGTGGCTTTGGCACTTGTTTTTATCTGCACAGAACCCAAACGAGCTGACTTAGCAGCAATATACGAGTTGCATAGGTCATCAGACTCTCACTGGTGGGACCTCAAATGATTAGAAAAAACCAGAGCCTCAAAAGTACCTCACACCGTTGTCAGCTGAATAACTAGAATTCGCCTGAAGCTCTGGTCTGTCAACTGTCTGTCTGGACTAGAATCAGAAGTCATATAGGCACATATTAACAAGTATTGGAAAGTCTGTTAATACCTCCCAGTATGCGAGCCCTGGAAACGGTACAATAACAGCGAGAAGAGCACACCCTGCTCCGAACAGCGTGGTTGCTCCGAGACGGATCAGAAAGAACATGCTGTTTTCGTTGGCTCCAGAGTGTGCCGAAGTGAAGATTATCCCTATGAGAGCGAGAGCCACCTTCCTGGACATCTCCTGCCCCAAAAGTCCTGCGGGATATGCTACATAGAAACTACTGAAAAATATTATGACTATCGTTGGTACGAGATCCAGGCTGCATCCGAAGATCAGGTACACTAAGCTCCCGACACTCAAGGCTTGTCCTAAGCCTATCACCACACCGACAAGATTCTTGACCACTGCCCCGAGGCTGGACTCGACGAGGTTCAGACAGATGACGAGTGAAAAGAATGGGATCGCCAGCCAGTCGGTCACGGGGGTGGCGAATTGTAACACTACTCCAGCGAATAAACAGGCCCATCCACTCCTCAATGCGACGTGCAGCCGCTGGAAAAACCGCTTTCCGTAGAGGGATTTCATTCGAGCCTTCACTCGGTTCATCATAGCGTGGCATGCGGCGACTACTCCAACTGGAGCATCTGTAATGGACACCCATCAAAGACAAAAGCTGAAACCACTTAGAGTCCATGAAATCACCCGGCTAGAGAACTAAATCGGCATCGGATCCAACCTTACCATGGCAATGCGATGGGCGAAACAAATCACACAATGCCCATGCAGCCCACTTCATACGAATCACACCTGATCTTTCAAAACTATGACAATGCTAGCTGGTTACGGAGGTTTTGCACGCATACTGAAATCTGACTTACAGGCTTCAGAGTCTCCCGAGTGTCCATAGTTTCCAGATCCCGGACTCTCGAGGTCCAATCGGGTGTCGACAATCCTCGCTGCCATTCCTGTGTCCATCCTGGCTTCAGCATAGATCTATGCCCGGAGGCAGATCGTTCGTCAGACAACTGTGGTCTCCGGCTGCTCAGAGACGCGCGAACTCCTGCAAGAGCTGTTCTTCCGACGAAGCTCAAGGCAGTCAATGGGTCCGCATGACTTGCTTACTCTGGACCTGGTGAGCCGTCTAATATGAGGTGAATCCAGTCGAAGAGGTCGTGAGAACGCTCGGACTCTGGTCTAGTGGAGTCTAAACCACGCGCCGAGTTAAGCGCCTCTACCTCTACCTCTACGCCAAATCTCTGACACCATTGCCGAGTATAGATGGTGTATCACATTCCCATGGCCTGACATGAGCTTACAGCCGTTCTGGGCCCATTCCTCTCCTATAGAATCTAAGCGTGTGTGGAACGAAGGTTCTTCATTCTCCCTCTTTCACCTCCCCTCTAGAGGCGAGGTCGAAGGAAGGAGGCCGGTCCCTCGGCCGAATTGCAGCCAGTAGGGACGCCAGCAGTCTCGACGAACAATGGCAAGTGATTTGCTAGCCTGAGAGCACTGTGGATCCGCAAAGCTGCTGTTGTCCGTCGACTGGAAAGTGGGATTTGTGTGAGGAGGCCAGGGTGGTGCATGGCCGAGCTGCCCCGAGTCGCATCGCCGTTGGGGCAACTTGGGGCACTTGGGCACTGCAGCCTTCCCTCCCCGCTCGTCGTGTGGCCGATCATGGTCCTCGTCCCGACGTCCCGCGTCGCCTGACGTCGTCTTCCTTGACGACAAATCATGGTGGTGCTATTCTAAAGTATCGGAAGTTCCGCTGTAGATTCTTCTCTTGCGTCCGAGTCATGGCGCAAATGCCAGCCGATTCTTCAGCTTGACTGACGCAGTTTTGTAAGACGCTGAGTCTGCGTCCAGATCGATGCTTTGTCATGGCCCTGCGCATGAAGCACAAAATCTATGCGCCCGCTGTGAATCGTCTGGATTGATGCATTGACCATAAGGTGGGCCTCGGTACAAGACGCTTGTTTATTTTCATCTCCAGGAGCTGACCTCAGTTTCTCGTTTTCTGCTTTAAGTCAAAGGAAAAGACTAAAATTCCAATGACTTATTTCAGTCGAAACGTACCATCGTATGTAGAGCGTGCACCATACTCGAAGGTGCTCCACGCTCATGAGATTACCTTAAAATTACAAGTATTCACCTGAATTGTTGACATGACTCTCATTATTTGCAAATTCTTCACCGTTAACCTTCAGGATGAAAGTTTTCAATTTCTGTATATCATATCTTACTGTTAAAGAATTGTGTAGGGAGCAGCTAGTTATCTTTCACTTCCGGCTAATTAAGCGTCACTCTACTCCAGACTCTTCAATCATTGGAAGATGCAGTGTTACAGGTTACTGAAATGAGTAGTATTCAGGGTAAGATGTTGGACCAATCAAAGAATAATGTGTATTAGGGTGAGAGCTAATTAACCCTAAGTGAGATACAATTAACATTCTTCATTTTATTTTATTTTATTCAAGTTTCAATGAAATTTAAATACACTCTAGGTCCATGATACAAGGTATACCATCCAGAATTATGAAATTGATCATCCCCTACAGTTGCACGTAGAGTAACTCACAAGGGGGGAGAACAACCTCGAAAAGACAAAAACTACGGGGAAGTGCACTAGAAAGCTGGGGCTTGGCCTTAAGGTTTTAGACCCGATTGCATTTTCCTGAGATCTGCATAGAGCAGTGCCGCCGTGCCAGTCGCTTTAAAGTAAACCAGCAGCACATGTGCGCATTAGTGACATCAGGCTAAACGTCACCCGCATAGATTCCGCACAGGAGCGGAAAGTGGAATTCCGAATGACGGAAACCACAGATTCTGTACGATGATGTGCAAGATGCTTGAGCAGATTCTGTGGTTTACAATATCCTCAGAGCAACGCAGATTCTGGGGAAGTTTTTATTGCTCTAATGGAGAGCCTACGTGGACAATCTCCTGTGCTTACGTATCATGAGCAAATCAGCAATCTGACCACTTCCTGACAACAAAATGGTGATATCTCTATACAGTTGTGAGCCTTTCTAGAGACCAATAAAATCCATTATCTCAAAAGAGACAGGAGCCTGACATGATAGTACCTTACCGTACTTTCTCTCTCCTCTCTCCCCTTTTCCGTTGACTCGGCAAATTAATAGCTGAGTCAGCCCTCCAGGACAACATTCATCGGATTTTGTCCACCTTTCAACGAAGGGCACCTGCACTATTGAAGATAGATGCATCTGCACTCGAACCTGTCCATGTGGATTCGCTCTAGAGCCAAATATGTGGCATTCAAATGGTTTACACTATTCCACAACTGGAAAATTATCCTTCATACAGATTTAACTATAATTAACGCAAAACCCTCGATTGGAATTCGGCCAAGATCTCCAAGTATGATGGTTCCACTCTTTGTTACTCCACCTTTGACATTGTATGAAATAGTAGACATCCACTAATACATGTGTGAATGTTACAGCTCTCTTTATATATCTATATTATACTAAATACTTCCGTAATGTTAGATAAATAATTAATTGTTATCCTTATGAAGATAATAGCTTTTATGATGTTCAATATGGTACTCTTGATATTTTTCAGCCCTTTCTCCTCTATATTTTGAATACGGCATTGTTCCCAATGTGATGCTATTAGGATCCAAAGCCTGATTATCTTACTTTTGGTTAAATCCATGTATGGTAAGATTGAATATGATCATTATCTTGGTGCAACTTCTTTCTTCTACTTGATTATTCATTTAACTGCTCTTGGTCATGATCAAATACTTTTTCTACTTAAAATCAAACATCCAGAAGTTGAACTTATAAATACGTCCGTCTCTAGTAACCTTCCACTCAGGAAATGTGGAACACTTGACTCCTAGCTGGGTTGGATGACCAGCTTCCAGTTATATAGAGCCATATCACCTTCCGAGATTTCACTGTTGGACTGTACCTCTATTCTGAACACTTTCTATCTTCATACATCGCGGACCCTCTCGAGTCTTGAGTGTGAATCTCAACAAGAAGGCCTCCACGTATAACGGCTCTCTCTCTCTCTCTATCAGGGGCGGATTACCACTATGATTTGATATTATGATGATTGGGATCACATGTCATTGAACATTCTATGACATGTTCGCTTGTGGAGTAAAAGATTTTGAGATATTGAATCAATATAAAAGTGCTGATTTTTTGTTTCTTCCTAGGTTGTGCATCAGCGGCTTACGTGGCTTTGAGTACATTTCAGCACGTCACAAGTGGATACTTCTTTCACCACATGTGCATAAACCGAAATATGAAGGTTTTCAAATGCCACATCATCCACTGTATGTTTGTTTGACGAACCACTCTAGATATTTGAAGCAAGCCTTTAGCTCTCAAAGAATGTGCAACACGAGTTGGACATTCAAGATTTACTTGGAGGCCTCTGAGAGGAGGTTCGGGTTCGTGCTTGAGAAAATTGTCTGACGAGAAATCTGAACCACAAACATCGCACTGCTGGAAAGAGAACCTCCAGAAAGCTAGCTTTCCACATAATCTCTGCTTTATGAGCCACAAAAAAAAGTGAGGTTTTAAGTTTACGAAACTCATCTAGCTGGAGGCCAAACAAGTTTCCTTCAGATTGGAGGCTTTAAACACAACAAATGACTTTGTGAGACCTTCGAAGTCAAATTCTACAAACTTTACAATCTGTTTTTTTCGCCCTTTTTGCCGAAAGCTGAGTTGGAACGAAATGTGATCTGACCTATGTGAAACAGACATCAACCATAATGTGAAAGGAACCCTCAAAGAGCGCTACAGCACTGCTCAATTTGGTAAACAACAAGTCTCATTATCATACCACATATAGGATGTCCTAACCTCTAGGTTACTTGAAGGGAATTGATCCTACTTGCTCGAGTGGAAAAATATACCTTGGTCCACCGTCAACAAATGGTCAAAAGTAGAAAAGATTACCTGCAGTTGGATGGAAAGAAGAATATAAGCAAAGAAAAACCATATGTATAAGCAGGACTCTCTATATAGGGTGGATTCCTTCTGTTTCGTATCTCAACAAAATAAGGATAATTCTCAAATCAAAATACGAAATATATGGAACTTGACAGAAATCTTTCATGTTGTCGGGCAAATTTGACTGCAATGTAATACAACTTCGAGAGATGTGGGTGTTATTTTTTATCTCTCAATATCCTTTTCCCATTTCAACACCAAAAAATCACTCTCCACACCGTTGAAGTGTTTGGAAATGGTCAAACTAATCTTCCAAAAAACTCCATGAGTTGAAGAAATTTTTTCTTAATACTTTTCAGTCAACAGGTTTTTGTGAACCAAGAACATCGACTTCATAATGTTCTCTATTCACAAAAACCAAAGGCTGTTTGTGTTCTTTCATTATTTTATCTATGTACTTTTGTTACCAAAAAAGTTTGAGACTATCTTGACGTTTTAGAACTAGTTGAATAAATTCTAGTGTTTTCAAAACTACAAGTTACTTAGGTAAGCAAAGTTACTTAGGTAAGCAAGAAGACAAAATACTAAAATTTGCCTGGTTGAAATCATCAGGTGTCGCCGCAAAGTTTTAGTCAAGTAATTCCGTTAGTTTCTCTAGTAAGGCCACCGAGATGAACAAAGAAATTGTCACAAACGGTCATGGTAAAGTTTTAGGTGAGTATTTCTGTTAGTTTCTCTAGTAGAACCATCTAGATCAACAAAGATATTGTCACAAACGATCACCCCAAAGTTTTAGTTGAGTGACTCCATTAGTTTCTCTAGTAAAGATTCCTTGATAAAAAATACTCTTTTGTTGGAATTACGGAACTTTCTGAAAACAAAATACGGCAATCTGACTCTCAAGTTCCGTATTTTCCGTATTTACAGAAGCTGTATATACGCGGCACAAAAACTTCTCGGGAAATCTGGAAAGATTAAGATTATGCGAACTTATAAATAAGGCTGTCTAGGTCTCATCATCCAAATTCCCACTACTTTATGTGTGGCTCAATCCACATGGGCATAAGACGGATAGAATTATTTTCTTAGACTGTAAATTGATATCACATATGGAAGCAAAGGATTTGTAATGTCATTTGCTTCCATATGTGATAAAGGACATTACAAATCATGATTTTGATTGGAGAACAAAACATGGAATAAGTAATATGACATATAGATGCCAATACTCCATCAATCGAGGACTAGAATGAGTCTAGGTCCCAAAAGCATCACAGTGATGATATTAGGATTTAACTCAGCTCATAATTCCTCTAGTTAATGGGATCAATAAGCATATTTGAATATATGATATGCAGTCATAGCTCTCAATGACACAACGTTTAGGATTTCAGCAATATAATTTTGTGTTTCCGTGAAGTAGACTTGCAAAAGTGAATCACGTAATAAATACATCGACTTTGTGTGTATGTCTGTTTCTTGTTAACGGAGTCTAATGCAGATTACGGTTGTTGACTCTGTGTGATTTTTTTTCAAACACGATATTCA